TTTTCGTTATGACTCAAAGTTCGTATGATTCTGTGATACAGTAATCAAGAACGTGGATCCCGGATCGGACGATTTTTGGGATGCAAGCCCTCAGTAAGCCACATCCAGCTCACCTAGCCCTTGCCTAGAACTGTTTAATTACACCTATACTTGACTCATAGTTGTCTAGCGTTTTGTGAGAGCTCTTTGTGAGCTACTGTATCCAGCTGAGCTAGTATTCTGATATGTGCAGTGTTCGAAATTTGATAATATAATATGTACAATCATACCATTGTTCATGCTCTTCACTTAATATTTTAGCTTTATTACAGAATGGATGTGTTTTCGTTCAACATTCCCTGGATAATTAATCCGTCTGAATACAACTGCAGTGGTCGTCCCTTACTTGAATGGGAGAGCAGAGGTTCAGTGAACAAAATACAGGGATATTACTATGCGACTTCGGGAACAATCTTTGTGGTAAGCTCTATTTTTTGGGCGAAATAAAAATTCTTGCCGCTTCCGAGTGGGGAACTCCTTGATGTTCTTCCTGATCAGTAGTTAGCACGTGGAAAAGTAACCAGAAGTTAGCATGAAGAAAAGTGATCAGAAGTTAGCACCTAGAAAAGCATTTGGAGAAAATGGCTGGAGTGATGAAAGTGGCGCATAGACGAAGCACTGGAAACGATGTAAGTACACGAGGAGTCGTTACGGTTGTGGAATGGGTGACGTGGTTCGGGAAAGTTTTCTTTCTGTAGGAACTTCTAAAGAGATATATGTATGTAGAATAAAAGTCATTTCAAGATGGTTCCACAACGTCACCTAACAAGGAAGAAGAATAATACTAGAAACCTAAGTGGGTATAGTATACACGAAAGAAAGTTAGTCATTGAATGGCGGCCATTCAAGAAATTTACAGGCGAAAAAACTTGGTCAGAACATTGGACTTCTAATGAGGGCGGGCAAGATGGAAAAGGTCGTCGAAAGCATATGGATTGCTTTCAAGAAAGTTCCAAGTTTTTGATCAATATGATGCGGAAGGACTGAGCATTTTAGGAAAACCATAGAATAAACTCAAACAATTAGTAAAACAAGTGAAGCTACAGTGGTGAAGCATCGAAGAGCCGGAATAGGGCACATTTAATTGGGACCAGGGAAAAAGAAAAAATGAAGAGCGAAATAAGGAAACTTTACTGTTGTGTTCTCCTAGAATTAATCATTTCAGATTATTTACGTGATGTGCCTGATAGGAATGTATCGGGGAAACCTTCTGAAGACTCCTTGTTATTGTCTGATGTTCTTCAACGGCATTGTCGACATCATGGATCTTGTTGCAGGATCATTTCTCGCAGCCTACTTTCATTTTGTGAGTGAAGTATACGATACATCATCCTTTATCATATTCAAGTTCGGATCTGGTAAAACATTGGCTCAATACATAGGGTTCCGTTAGGGTAGGAATCCTTGTCCTTGTTTGAAATGTGTGACTACATAGTTTGCAAACTAGACCGCTAATATACAGGAAGTAGGTGGTGGTGGTATATGTGAGCCTCGATAGCGTAATGAAAAGTTAGCTCTTAAGCTAACACCTAATCCCGTCATGCTCATTCACACAAGCTTAGAACTTTGAAAGGAATACAAAACACTAGCTAATCACGAGCTTTCTTCGCTTGCTCGTCCACAGGAGCTCTTTGTTTACAGTAGACAACCTTCAGTCACCACCGACCAACATCGCTCCACGGGAGAGACTCCAATTTGGATTCTGTATTCTTAAGTTTGGGAGGATAGGAAATATGAGCAACAAGTGAAAAAGAGAACTCTTCCAAACAGTAAAAGAAGCTACAAATATTCATTGGTAAAGTAAATTCCCCAGATCAGGAAGGTTCGGTCGTGAATGGACCTATCTAGTGCATAAAAAGTAGAATAGTGAATGTTCTGGAGGCTAGTCATGCAAAAGAAAGTAGTCCAAAAAAACGAAAGCACGCGCTAATTGAAGGGTGTGCATGTGTGTGGGAGATCTCCAAATCAACAGCGGATAAGGGGAATAGCTGAACACTCCTCATACTTAATGCCGACATAATTTCTACTGTCGATGATATTGATAGATTGGACTAATATTCAAACGAAGTGCAATGCCGAAGATCCTCTAAAAAGAGTGACATTGTAGTAGGTGGGAATGCTGCATGGTCCTCCCGAATTTCGCCATATATTTTGCATCGAGCTTCAATTTGTTGATAACACTAAGAAGTACCTCTGAACATTGCTAATGAACATCGATTTCAGACCGGAGCAGTCTTCTGTACTTCCGTAGGTATCAACTGGTTCGCTGGATATTTTTCATGGTGTACGTTTTGCCACTCTTCGATTTTTTTCTGTCAAAATGAATAAGAATGTTTCACTTCACACAAAGGGGGAACTAACAGATATTTCAATCAAGTTTCCATTTGAAAACCCAAGCTTTAAAAAATATAAGACTTAAAGAATACCAACAAAGGTCTGCACAAGATGACCGTCTCGGTGTCTCTCATTTAAGCGTACTGTTCGTCCTGTCCTGTGAATAGTGCAGTAATAGCAAGGCCAGCATAACACGGCCACTTTGAGTATCTGCGTTGGGCAAACCGGTTTCTGAACCCTTACCACGTCCGTTTTCGGCCTGACAATGGCCCATGTACTATTAATGCGGGCCAGAGATTCATTCCGGCGGAAAACCTCAGAAACAATTTTTTTGTGAACTGTGCCTTAATGGCAACCACCAATTAGCATGCTATAAGTCGCAGCCTCTCACACTTCAGACAAAAACCAATGACTTTCAGGTGTATGGTCGGGAGCCTCTTTCAATTGTGCCGTGCTGGCGTTGAACCGTGTTGTTGAAATGATTCCTTCTTTTCGGTCTCTTCGATTTTTGTTTCGAGGTAGGGGCTCTTGAGTTGCTCGAACGCCTGCTTTAACCGGATATTTGTGTGGAATATGAGGGTCTTGGATCTTCGGCACTCTACAGTCCTCTACCATTTTAGGAAAATCGTTATATATTTGGATGGTACTATCGGTAGCGTACATGATGGTTCTACCATTCATCACACGATCGCATCCTTTCAATTCAGTAATTAGCACTTACGTCTCGTCTCCAATGATCACCGATGATGCTGCCAAAGTGAGTTTTCATAAATGTCGTTGCTACAAATAATGCAGAGCTGTTGAAAAACTTTTGCATGTTCAACACATTCACGCCCATATGGGCTGCCGGCGTGAATATGTTAAACATGCAAGAAGGCCATAAAGATGGTTTGGTAGTTTGAGTATGGAATCGCTGAGAGTTCTCATTCCCTTCAATGTTAACCTTATCGTGATTTTTTCTTCAGGAATCCGCCTATTTCGCTACTCTGCTGGTGCCTATGCACAATATCGCAATTGTGATTATACTCTTTAGTCTTTACTCGGTTCTGTGTTTTTATGTATTCAGTATGCGCCACTTTACAAAAGGAGTTAATCACAAATTTCAAGTGCAGGTACCATTTTGCAAACTTAAAAAAAAAGTGATAATCGAATGTTTTATCCAAACGTATTATCCAATTTCAAAGGGTAAGGGGGAGGTGGTGTAGTGCTAGTCAAGACACTGCAACGCACATGGCCTGGGGATCGAATCATGGCTCTCCAGGCCCAGAAGTGGGATTGATTGACGCCAAAGGCTTTACCCTTTTGTCCTTTATCTTTAATCCAGTACAAAAACTGTCGCAACGAGTCGAAAAAGGGCCTTGGCCGTGCAACTTGCACCTCGTTTCCATTCAGCCACCATTCTCCCGAAACTCTCCTCCGTTGAACGGAGCTTTGGCAAATAACGTAATCCTCTATTTACAAATAAATAGATGATGTTTTCGAAGATGTTTTCTTTAAATATCTTGCGTCGTAACAACTTCAGTTCACGACACTTCAGTTTTACAAAGAAATCTAGCAAAATTGACATCCAGGACTGAAATGAGCCACCGTAACCATTCCAACTTCTTGTACTTGAAGTTTTTATAACGAAATTGTTGCAGCTATTTATTCAAGCTTTGCTTATCTGTATAACAACAGCAATAACAGCGCTTTCTTATGTTGTCCTGGGATTCTTTCCTATATCACGAGGCGTCGTCATTGCCGGGAATGTTTTCTGGCAAATGAGTCACGGTAATATTTAGTCCATCACTTGAACTCCTCTGAACGAGGATTTTCTCGAATTTTAAATGTGATTTGCAATTACAGCCATAAATTTACGCTTGACGATCTCTCTGTAAGAGCTGATCGAGTGGGAGGTCTGACGTTTTCTTCCTCAACGTTCTACATTTTCAGGACTTCATGCTGTGATTTATTTTTGCTTCAATCAAAGCATACGTAGTGAAGTGCTGTGGATGTGCAGAAGAAAGAAGTCGCCAGCCATTGTGAGCGTCTCGGCCGCTGTCGAATTTCGAAAACGATGACGTTAATCGAAAGGTGCCTCTCGATAACACTGGTGGATGGCCCTCATGATGGAGTTCGAGCCTATTTCGATGGCTTATTGGCAAGACAGCAGCAGGATTTTCCTATTGAAGTCGAAGATCGAAAGGCTCGATCGAAACGTTTTCCATCGAATTCTGATATTTCATTAAATGTGTAGAAAAGCGTCTAACAATAAAGAATAAAATGAAATAAGGCGAGTTAACTGCTTTCTCTACAGCTAATACGACTTTTTTCACATCTCGCTTCATCCTGTATTAGTTCCTATTCAGTTACATTTAGGTTTTGTGCAAGTATTCTTAACACGTTGACGACGAGCCAATTTCTTCGTGTCTGTCCCGTGGAACGACACAGTTTCTTTCAGGGAAATTTGTTATTTCTTGAAAGAATGAGTGATTACATTCAAGAACATTCGAAATCCGCAAACCTTCTAGCACTATTCAATTTTGCCCAAGATTTGCGGCTACTCGGGGTAATTTTAAAATTGGCGGTGATAAATTTGAATGGGGGGTATATAAATAGGATCTCTGAGAGTATTATTATCCTTGCGACTATTTTTGTCATCATGAGTGTCTCGGATATTGAAATGGAAGACTCAACGAAATTTTTGACCACTGGACAGCGACGATGATTCTGCAGGTGATTTAGACGGCGATGGTACGGCTCCTGCGGTTGATCCTGTCTTGTATTTGTATTATTCATCTTGGAATCAATTTAATAGGTGGCCGGTGCTATTTTGGACACTTATAAGCCTAAATTGAAAATCTGCACAAAAAACGGAACGAGCAAACACACTTTAATGGAAGAATGCACCGTCGCGCAGCATTGCGCGACATCGTCCCATGAGACAGACGTCAACGTGTTAAATGCGTTAGTGGCATTGTTTCTTGATGTTCGTACTTTTATGCTCGTCTTTCGGTGACATCATTTAGCTCAGAACGAGCCTGAAATTGTTTTGANATTTTCTGGGTGACTGTAAGCTATCAAAAATCATCCGAGCAGTTCTTCAAATAGCTTGGAAGATAGTTTCGAATTCTCATAAATTTAGGAATGTGCTGAGTCAGGATGACTCTAATCTGATCTCCAATTTACCAATAAATAAATTTAGAATTTACTTTTTAAACGGTAACGAGTAAACGAGTGAAGTATTTGTTTTGTTCAACGTAGGCCTTGAGAAAAAACCTCAGGTTTTGTTTTATTGACAGAATCGAATCTTTCACCACCAACAATGCTGCTTTGATAGTCTACAGAGCAAAGAGAATGTTTTTTGTAATCGAATATGGAAAACAGATGCAAAACATACATGGGAGATCTGTATTGTGCTGGAGTCTTCTCTCAACTGTTCTCCTTTAATGGCATGACTCAGATTGTCTTTTAGCTTTTATAGATCCTTTACGTCACTTGCGTCACACGACCGTAAAGGGATGAGTTAGGTTGACATTCAAAAATTCAGAGGAATAAAGGATAGGAAGAATGAGGAGAGAGGGTTTTGCATTAGTCAACACGGTCCATAACCAATAGTTAGAGCCAAGTCTATATGTAGTTTAGTAGGAAGAAATTTGTTAAATCAGGTATATTTAATTCAAAACCAAGAAACTAAAAGAATCACGTGGCCGTACGTTTCCAGTAAAATCAGTAAATATGAATTTGACATCAGTAAATTCAAGGGTTACTGACGGCTTTTGACTCGTCGAATAGAAAGTCCCTCAGTCAGTCTACTCCCATTAAAGGAATGACGTTTGGATCGAACTTAGTGAGGCTGGTAACGTGTGGAAACTATCCTGAATATTGTAAGTTTCTGATTCTGCCTCGAGGCTTGTAGGTAGAAATTTTTATACTGGACGACGTTTCGACGGACTCGTCGTTTTCAAAGGCCTGAAAGTGGTTCCAAGCGTGTTGATTGTACATTACCCCACCAAGCGCCTATTCCGCTCTAGCGTTTCTGACGTACTATCAGGAATGCACGAAAAATGCTCAAAATCCGAAAGATAAGCTCATCTCACTTCCACCACAAAGTGTAGCCACGCTACACGGTTAGTACATTAGTAGCGAATGATCTTATATCATTCGCTACTGATGTACTAACCGTGTAGCGTGGCTAGTTTCTTTTTCTCAACATATCCTGAATATATGTAGAGAAAAAGAAACTGGGCAGCCACTGGACCTATCTTGGAGACTGACCTGAAAGTCAGCTCCCATACAGAAGTATTAGGTGTGTGCATTAATTTCCGCCGCCGGATTCGAAGAGTCGTTGCTCGAATAATACTAGAGGTTTACGTGTGGAACTTGTCGTATTCTGTAAAATAGGGTACTGGCCACCTATTTAAAGACAGACATGTCGGTTTTTCCCCAAAATTCCGTCGCTCTCCAACTGATTGTTCATGGAACGTGATAAATCTTTTTTCTGGGAAGTCCTTCTCCTACTGTTTGATGTTTGAAAACTGGCGGTGAAGCTCACCTCATGCTTTTCGATACTTATGGAGAACAAGCTTCATCTGAACGAACCTGCAGCACTCACCCGAAAAAGGCCGTTAATCGCAAGAAACATCATAAGGTGCTCATCCACCACAATAAATCCAGACCCCATGTTGCAAAGAATGCACTTAAAAAAATTGCACATCATGGATGGGATCAGTTTGTTCAGCCCGCACACTCCCGCAACTTGCTCCATCTGATTACCACAACTTCCGGTTCATGCAAGCCAGTATGGCAGGTACACGCTTCCAGAACGCCTAGTAAGTGCGGAAATGGCTTGATGACTGGGCGGTTGCTTCGAAAGATGAAGACTTTTTTAGACTTGGAATCAATAAGCTATTAGAAAGATGGCAAAAAAATGTAGCTAACGATGGACAATACATTGGTTGAAGTACATTTTGTTTTAATTCTGTAACAAATATGTTTTTGCACGCAAAAAAACGGCAGAACTTAATGCATACAATTACTAGGTTGATGCATAATTATTGCGGATTTTTTTGCGGCTTCTTTTCTCTCGATAAAATTGAACTTTTGAATTCGGGATTTTNTTTTGTAGAAAAAATCTTCTCGCTTTCCTTAACAGAAATTTGTCTAGAAAGTCACCTTCATATACGCCACGTTATGCTCTATTACTTCGAGAAATGTTGGAAGGCGGCACAGTCCTAAAGTGATCTCAACGAACTTCTCGGCGATGGAACAGTCAGCCAAAGACGAACAAGGTATGGAATCTGCTCCTGCGATCGCCTTATTCCCCAATAAATGCTTCTATGGATTATCACGTTGATCGCCCGCTGGAAAGTTGGTTAA